ATGAATGTGTTTTATTCATGAATATGCTGCAGTTATTTTTTCCTATGGACCTGAGGAAGAGAAGCGATTGCGCTGTAACAGCTAATAGGGCTCCAAACAAACAAACTAATGATTATTTCCATTGTTATTTAATATACTAATTAAAATGCACTGTGAGCCAGTGTGTCATATAGGAAGGAAAGCTGCAGGAACAAGGCACTGTTCTCACTGTTCTACCAGAGTGAACAGAGCCCTTTCACATTCTCTGTGAAGAGCAGAAGGAGTGATGGTAAAAAAAACCTTTGCTACTGTGAAAAGTACTGTGCCATTGTTGCTCTGAAAAAGTTGACATTTTAATTAGGAAATGAGTCATTTTCCTACCTTTGCCACCCTATAGGCTGTAGAAGATTGTGGATTAATGTGCTCATTTTTAACCATTGTTTTGTTCATCTCCATTATTCTCTCAGATTCTTTATTGAACTTTAGTTTCAGTTGCCCAAAATCTTCCTTTCTCTTTTGCTTTTCTATTTAGTCTTTTATCCATTTACTGTCTGCCGTTCTCTCTCTTCTTCTGCTGTTTATCCTAAAAGGGGAAAAACTTATGCTACTGTCGCTGTCGTTCTTTCCTTCTTTCAGTTGTTGGTTCAAGCTCCCATGTTTTGTTTTTATATCCATCAAGTTTCAAAAGATGCAGCCCGTGTAGCTGACTGCTGTGATTAGTACGTGTACCAGAGGATGGAGCGTGGGCGGCTCACAGCCACATGGTTCAGCTTTGCCTAATGTTCAACCTTTAGTAGTGACGCGCAGTGTAAACATCTAGCCACATTTCAGTGACTTGAACTTCCCCCTAGTCTCGGCTAAAGTTGGTGTTAATACATAAAAACCTTTGCTACTGTGAAAAGTGCTGATAATCTACAGTGAGGAACAGAAGTATTTGAACACCCTGCGGTTTTGCAAGTTCTCCCACTTAGAAATCATGGAGGGGTCTGAAATTCACATTGTAGGTGCATTCCCACTCTGAGAGACAGATTTAAAAAAAAAAAATTCAGGAAATCACATTGTATGATTTTTAAAGAATGTATTTGTCTTGCACTGCTGAACATAAGCATTTGAACACCTGAGAAAATCAGTGTTAATATTTGGTACAGAAACCTTTGTTTGCAATTACAGAGGTCAAACGTTTCCTGTAGTTCTTGACCAGGTTTGCACACACTCCTCCACACAGATCTCCTCTAGATCTGTCAGGTTTCGGGGCTGTCGCTGAGCAACGCTGAGTTTAAGCTCCCTCCAAAGATGTTCTATTGGATTGAGGTCTGGAGACTGGCTAGGCCACTCCAGAACCTTGATATGCTTCTTACGGAGCCACTCCTTGGTTATCCTGGCTGTGTGCTTCGGGCCTGTCCCCTTCGCAGAAAAGCACCCCCACAGCATGATGTTTCCACCCCCATGCTTCACAGTAGGGTTGGTGTTCTTGGGATGCATCTCATCCTTCTTTTTCCTCCAAACACGATGAGTGAAGTTTAGACCAAAAAGTTCTACTTTGGTCTCATCTGACCACATGACTTTCTCCCATGCCTCCTCTGGATCATCCAGATGGTCTTTGGCAAATTTCAGATGGGCCTGGACATGTGATGACTTGAGCAGGGGAACCTTCCGTGCAATGCATGATTTGAAACCATGACAGCGTAGTGTTCTACCGACAGAACTGTGGTCCCAGCTCTCTTCATGTCATTGACCAGCTCCTCCCTTGTAGTTCTGGGCTGATTCCTCACCTTTCTCATCATCCGTGATACCCCACGAGGTGAGATCTTGCATGGCGCCCCAGTCCGAGGGAGATTGACAGTCGTCTTTAGCCTCTTCCATTTTCTAACAATTGCTCCAACAGTTGATCTGTTTTCACCAAGCTGCTTGGCAATTGCCCCGTAGCCCTTTCCAGCCTTGTGGAGGTCCACAATTTTGTCTCTGGTGTCTTTTGACAGCTCTTTGGTCTTGCCCATGGTAGTAGTTGGCGTCTGACTGACTGTGGGGTGGACAGGTGTCTTTAAAGAGCTCAGACAGGTGCTACTAATTTAGATTAATGAGTGGAGTAGAGGTGGACTTTTTCAAGGCACAGTAACAGGTCTTTGAGAGCCAGAATTCTTGCTGTTTCTCAGGTGTTCAAATACTTATGTTCAGCAGTGCAAGACAAATAAATTCTTTAAAAATCATACAATGTGATTTCCTGAAAATTTTTTTTTAAATTCTGTCTCTCAGGGTGGGAATGCACCTACAATGTGAATTTCAGACCCGTCCATGATTTCTAAGTGGGAGAACTTGCAAAATCGCAGGGTGTTCAAATACTTCTGTTCCTCACTGTATATCAGTATATGACTACATCCTTTTGCTGTGCTGCTGGCCAGTGGTAGATTTAACTTCCTGTGTGCCAGTAATTTGAGACTGGTTGGAGTGTTCCTAGAAGTCATGTGATATGAGTGACAAGGACGTGCTATCTCAGTAGAAGGCATTCAAATAACAGTAGTAAAATAAGACTGAGACACCAGGCTCAACAGTAAAATGACAAACAAAGCTCACTCAGAAGAGTACCATGCTCTCAAATATGAGAATCTTCTGCTTCTCTTGGACCGACATTGCTCTAAAGTTTGGTGTTTGGGGCTGTTGGTCAGACAAAACTAGACACTTAATGCCTTTTGCTCTAAGAAATTGTGATTTCCAATGTTTTACATAGCAATTAATTGAGAAAATAATATTGAGATTCATTGAGGAAAAGCTGTATGTCTGCGTCTTTAAGGACTTGTTGTTCCAGATAAAGTCATCAGTTCATCAGCACGTGTCCAAATATAGTCATTTTAATCCAAAGGAAACCACCACATGATGATGATGTTGGCAGTTATGAGCTTGTGTGTTTGTGTGTAAGATGCACAACACTGTGCACATGGACCACACAGTATATTTCCTGGATGACATCATGTGTTGCACAGGGACATACAGTTTGAGCTAATTGTTTTATTAAAGCCAATTTTAAAGTTTTGTCTTTAGGAAAATTTCCAGTTGCAGTAAAAATATAATCATGAAAGGTAACTTGTAAACAGTGAATGAAAGCATGCACTTAAAACTAAGTATAATGTAAGTAAATGTTTTTACATTCATGCAGATGTATAATCTGTAAAAACAGAGATAATATTGGATTTGCTGATATCACAAACTAATACTGTATGTACTGCATGTCAAGGATCTGCTTTGCATGTATTCATAGATCATCGTAAAGGACTTTGATCTTTGGTCATTTAAATGTTAATGAATGCAAAACACTTAAATGAACACACAAATAGGCAGACTAGGAAACTGTCTATGTACTGTGTATCCTGTCCTTACTCTATATATAAATGCGTTGTGTTTATGACTCTGTCCGCAAGTGCTCATCCATGTGCATCTGCTCCAGGGTTAGTGCAGAATCCTCCCAGAGAGTCGGTTATACAACATGTCCATTGCATCCCACCGGTGCGTTGTAGACCTGGCCTTCTCAGGTAGCCAGCACTCTACTGTTAGTACGCCCTAGCACTTAAAGAGCTTCGCTCCTCTGTGAGATACCCGTCATTGGACTGAAAACAGTAATGAACTTAGTAAAAGATACTGTAGTCAATTTTTAGCCGCCACCATGATTCTGTGGATGGCACTGTCGGTCCACCAGTGTAGTCCAGACTGGGATGACACTTTGTGCAGACATTCGTGTTCATATTGTGTCATTCAACCAATGGACCACACTCCAACATATTCAGTTTTTGATTTACATTGATCAGTTCTTGAAATAAGTGCCGACTAATTTTCTTTGGACTTACTAATTACAGCTGCACTTTGGTGATGGACCGAGTGCCTGCAATGCTAATGACATTCCTATCAGTGTCAACTGCAGTTAGTGTTTATTGTTGCAAATGTTAGCATGTTAACACTCTAAAATCTGTTTTTGTTGGTGTAAAGAACCACTGTGGCCAAGTATAGCCTCATGCTAGCATGGTTGTTTTCTTTGGGGATGCAGAATGTGTTACAGTGTGTGTGCATCGCATACGGTGTTGTGGTATTGTCATGTGCTCTGCCAGAGAGAACTGGCAGATTGGTTTTTTTCTTTGATTGATTATTTAATGAATCTGCTAATGGAGCTCTAATCTCTGCTCGGTGTGAACACACTGTAGTAACTGTGGTAAAGTGCAGGACCTCATAACTCCAGTCACACAGGTCCTTCTGCCCCAGGAGTAAATCACAGGAAAAAAAGGGAGCGTTGAAAAGGAAATGACAGAAATTTGCCCTATGATTCATTTTCAGGCTGCCCGATTCTGGCTAAAATATGAACCATGATTTTTTTTTTTTCTTCAATGAGGATTGAGATTTTTTTCTCACAATTCTTGAGCAATATATTTCTCTCTTTATTATAAATGTTTGCATTATGTTGTCTTTATGAAGACAGAACAAACTGTATGATTATTAATGAAACGAGACTCTGAACGATGCTAAACATAAGCTTTTGTTCTGATTTGAATACCTTCAAACAGATTTTAGTCTGTGTGTGTGACTTTGTGAGAACACCGGAGAGCATTCACACATTGTGCCCTGTTTTTCTGTTTACAGTTTGTCACACAGTGTGACACAGTTCTGTCAGTGACTGATACAGCTTAGGGAGAAAAGGGAGCACTTAGTTGGATGCAGCAGATCTCCCTCCTAATACAAACACAGCACAATCATTGCCATGTGAGAATAAGATTAGACAGGGCTGAATGAAGATTGTACTTTAAAAATATTTAATCATGCAGCCCTAGTCTACCGGTATTTGTGACAGGTCTTTCCCCAGATCAGGATCGAGTTAGAGTCCACATGTGGGGTAGTACCCCCTCCATGTACTATTGTCAGAAGAGCTAGGGTGGACACCAAACTGCACATGCTTGAAAAAGTCATGGAAATGCAATTTACATCAGGGCATTGATGAGAATTCTGAATTTAAATCGCTCCTGTCTTTGTGTCATTTATTCCAGGTCCATTATCCAGATGTGGAGAGGGTGGAGTGGCTGAATAAGGTACACACACATAAATACACTCACACTTTGTCTCTGTGTTCACTCTCATCTTGCCCTGTAGTAAATCAGGAGCCGGGAGCCCGCTAGCTGCAGGGGTAGACACAGGTAGGGTATATAAATAGGGTCTGCATCTGCAGATTTGATAGAACCTGGTTGAGTGCTTGCACCTCCCTGGGGAGAGAGATGGAGGAGAAGAGTAGATAAGTGTAGAGAGAGAGATAGAGAGGCATAGAAAGAAAAACAGAGAGAGAGAGATTGGTACCTGGAAGAGCATCACTTACTGTAAATGTTTGGACACACTTACAGTAACAATAGCTTTTTAATCTTTAAACCTGGAGTGCAGTGACCGTGCAGGCTAAAAAATCTCAGTCACACAATCATAAAGAAAATGAAACGGTATAAGAAGGTAAAAAAAACAAAAAAAACAGCACATCTCAGAATGTCGGTGTCACCGGGATCTTCAGCTGAAGGGCCACACCCTGAATATATCTCCTCAGGTGGCTATCAGCAATGAGAACATTCC